AAAAGCATTTTACGTTTTTACAGGAATTTATATGAAAGTTTCATTTACAGTCAAACATTTTACAATTTATGAATTATGACATTGGATGTGAAAATTGCTCTCTACGCTGACAAAAACAAGATCTCACAGAATAATAAAATAGCTGATTACATTTTACACCTTGCCCATGTCTATGAAATTACGTTTTTTTATTTATTTAAATTACATTATTACGAAAATAAAAACAATTGATTGTAGTTCGCGAAAATATTTCTTTGTTTACCTCCATGCTCGAAATTAGCTGGCAACGTTGCTGAAATCAGTCGAGGTTTGGAGAATGTATCCGTGTGTGACTCTTCCATACATCGCCGCATTAAATTCATTAATAAAATAAAGACAACAACTCTGCATAAATGTATTTGTAGTTTATTTAGTCTCTGTGCAAGAAAACTTGAACTTACAGTAGTTTCTAATATAGAAATGTATGTCAAGGCAAAACATGCATTAAACATGTTATCCTCGGGGGCGGACATCCGGGCATTTTCACCGCCTGGCAACCCGCGGCGGTGAAAACAAAGGCCCAAAACTCGCAGAAAACAGTACTTTGGGATGATTGTTGAGACTCCCCTGAACAGTGTAACAAGATTAGCCCTACGTGTGTAACATATATAAATTTGGCTGTTCGGGATTACTTCAAAGTTGAATTTGTGTTGTTTTCTCGAATTTTCACCGGCTCGACCGGTGTTCCACAGCAGCGCGCTCAGAGCCAATAGAAATGCATGTACAGTGCAGTGGTGCGCGTCTTAGCAACGTGGAACGTCTGTGACGTAGCTCCGCCCCCGAGGATACAACGTGAGTGATTTGCAAAGTTACCAATGATTGGCTACTCAAACGCAACAACTCGGCAGTCAGCCAATAAGCAACTGCCAATTGTGTAATTGTTGACAAGGTGTCAAATCAAGTGTGTGGGAAACTACGGCACGAAAACTACGGACCAAAACATACAGTGCACCTTGTACACCACTGAGTATGAACGCGTCTGGATATCTTGTGAAGCAACTTAAAACGGGGGAGTCGTCACTTGCGCATGCGTCAGATGGCCGTAGCGTGTCATTGTTTACAAATAAGCGTTCACCCATGAACCTTTGCGTTTTTAGTGTGTGTTGTTATTGTCGCTTGGGACTCACCTCCCGCGCGTGTCGTGCGCAGGTGACGACCCTCCCGCTTTAACACTTTAGGGTCACGAGACAAATACGATATGATATATTGATATTCCGTTCACTGACAAGCTACGTGGGAATTACTTCGAAGGAATTAGTAGAACAACAATTCACAATTTGTATGAGGTCACAAGAAATAAAATTACATTACTTTTTGATCAGAAAAAAAAAATGACAAGTTAAAAATAACACCCCGGAAGATAATAATAGGGTTGTATAACAAAGTTCCACAACATAGATTTTAAAATGTGATTGTTATACACTTTTCAATGGGTATCCATATTTCTGTGTCTATTATTGGGGAAATATTATCGAATATATAATGAAAACATACTGAACCTAGTTTACATAGTCTCTCAATAGAGATACGATATTAAAATATAAGAGTACACGTGACTAGCACGTGATTATCTACAAACACACAGTGATACACTTGTGTATATTATGTCCCTTGTGACATCGAAGGGGGTCAGTTGAAGTGTCACTTTCCGAAAAAAATGTATATGTGTTCAGCCTAATGCTCATCTACTGTGAGATCGGTCGGCAACAATGAATTGACCTCCTTCGATGTCCAACAATGAATTTAAATAGACGTTTACAAAACGTACGGTTTTGATTTCGATTCCTCGCTAAACGGAGAAAGTTCAACTTTTCGACAATATGCCGATTTAGACAAAAAAGTATCATAGTATAATGTCAATACATTATATATATATAAATATAAACAAAAAAATGCTAAGCAACGATAAAATCACGGTGAAGTGTTCTTTTCATGGAATGAACAGCGCCCTTAGTTGTCGAACCATTCGGTTATCTTGTTTTTCTTGGTGACGATTTCAAGTTATTTCCTCTTCGTGCACACAGACACAATACATTGTATGTACATATCTACGCAAACGTCATTTTAAAGCTCAAACGCTCGAGACTCCATGTAAAGCAATCCATTGTGACGTATTACTTTATAGTCGACCACATTATTCGTGCCATGGCGACGCCATGACACATCCGCTAAGAATAGATTCTGGGATTACCCGGAACCTTGTACGAGGAGTCGATTTTGTCTCAGAAAAGCAGACTTTGAACCAACAGTTTACGAATACAAGTAACGATGAAACAGGAAATAGTAACAAAATCACGGTGATCAGAGTCTCCATCATCCTGTACACGTGGCACACGTGCATGTAGAACTTGTAATATCCGGTTCACCCGATGACGTAGTCTTGAATTCGGGCTATACGTAATGACCGGTCGACCGCCATTTCAAAACGTTCCACGTTTTGAGGTATACTTCGCGATATGCGTTTGTGCTTGTTGAGTTTCACATTCAAATAATTACGAGGAAGTGGGTCAAGATGAACTTGAACCATCGTCTGCTAGTTTTGTAAAATGGGTATTTGGTGCGTTGCTGTTTATTTACAGTAATAATTATGAAGTTACACTCAATTTATTGCATCGGCGACGGATACCTGAATACTTTCGGCCTAACACACACGCAAGCAACAGGAACATGTTCCCAGGCGAATTTGTACCTGCAAAATATAAGGAAACGTATATTAGTATGCATTTCCTTGTCGTTACCCCCTTTGAAGTTTGCATGCCGGGTGACAAAGGCAAAGGTCGGCAGTACGATCAATTGTCCTTAATTGTATTACTAGTGCATGTACAATTGCCACACCCTTCCGCTGACTACCCCCCACCAGTCCTGTGAAATGGCTCCGTATACCGTGTTACAGCGATACAGACAACAGTTAGGGCATATTCTTAATGCGAAGATAAGATAAGATAAAATACTGACGGTTGTTTCATTTAGTTTGTTTGTGAAAAAATGACAAGCTTACTGGTAAAATCCGTCCCGGCATCCCGTTCGTTTGAGAACTCTAACAAGATATGTCACCGTCTCACAAGTATTTACTACTGATAACCCTCCACGGACCGAAGCATCAATGCAATCCTTGCAACGACACGATGCGACTGCCATCACCTTCGGAAATCTATCTGGGTCGCTGTCAATAGTATATGTCCAGGGGCAGAGCGATCTAGCGGCGATGTCAGCAGACAACGAGACATTGAGATGAAGCGGGCATGTGAAATTTGGTGTTGGGTAAGTGTGACGTTGCCCGTGTACGCTATTAATGGAATTCCTGCTAGTCGAGTCGCTCCCCGCAAAAAGCGTAAACGCTGGCGAATGCGGGTAGGATTTTTCTTTTCTCATCATTCGCCGATGAAGTTCTTGCTCCGATGGCTCCAAACACGACTCGATGTCGTTCACGTGTCCCGTGCCTTCCCTCTCATTTTCGTGCGTGCCTTCATTCTCTTCTCCGCCTATCGGAATTACACCTGTGTTGTCATCGTCGCTATTATTCTTTTGTATTATTTTTACAATTCTACTCTCGCCGACCCGGAGCAGATATACGGCCATCAGACAGAGAATGAAAAATGAGATCTGAAAACAACAATGATAAACTTTAGAATCACTCCAACACTCCAACGTAACGCTGACTTATGCACCGACATGGCAACACAATCCATATATCTACCAACATTTAAAACATTGGCCACTGCATCAAGTTTGAGTTACAATTGAAAAATCATTTCTTATATTTGCTTCATCGTGCCTTGCCCGTATCCGTTCCACAATTTAATGGGAGTGGGTTGCTTGCATCATGTGTAACCCTTCATAAAATTTAATGAGAATTCTTCAATAATCTTTTGAGTTATGAATGAAAAATCATTCCCGAAATTGTTGTTTCTATGGGAACCGTACCCCTATATCTGTAAAAACATTTAATGGGCTCGTATCTATCTATAACTTTTCGAGTTATCATGCTAACACTCACTTTGTTGGCCGGGGGGGGGGGGGTAAATACGTACATGTGCATGTAATAAAGATGTAATCACGTTTCAGTTACATCGATCGTTTACCACGATGAAGGACTAGACGATTGTTCAAGATCTAATCGTCCCGCCCACACATCTTTTTCGGCTTTGCTCGAATAAAGCATAGACCGTGACTGCACTAATATGACACTTAGTCAAACATAACAGCGAATCAAAATGCAATCGTGGTTGAAAAAATAGATTATCTTTAGATATAATAAATGCAACAAGTGGCTGGAACAAAAACAAACATTTGCCAGTGTGTACCCCGTTTCGAACGCCGATGTTCTTAAACTTGAGTTTTCTTTTCTCTATCGATTAAACATAGTGGAAAATAACTTTAATATAAGTGCCTAGAAGTTGTTAATGTTTACCAAACATCTGATTCTATGCCTCGATTTACAAAATAGAAGGAAGTGACAACCATTTATTAGTAAATCATTCATGAGTTGATGGTGGTCTGGTCTATGCAATATACCGAACAGTGTACTAATGTGGACAAAATAATATGCTGATTTAAAAACAAAACAAAAAAACACGCAACTGTAATTTTGTCACTCCTGCATGCTTCTCATTGAAATAGTTTATGAATAAGCAGAACTTCATTTGATTGGTTTGTGAATAAGCAGAACTTCATTTGATTGGTTTGTGAACAAATACTTAATTGTTCGTGATAATTAGCGCGTATTCGATTAGCTACTTTACAATAACTTTACAAGTGCGAGATTGTTACCTGCTTAAAGTCCATGTTTGTGCGTAGATCTTGTGGCGTATTTCGGCAATGAATGATATACCCTGTTGGTCGGAGTGCTTCAGTGCAAATGAATACTGTACCACGTGATGGTCCGGCCTTTATATGTACACACTGACAAGCCAGGCCGAGTCGCGGCCTTACGAGGGAACTTCCCGTTTCCTGTTAACCGTGCCCGAATCTCGTTACCGTATCTACTATTGGTCGATCATTACGTACACTGTTTACCAGTGCTTCGTGACCGCCATTGTGATTCCTTCCTGTCATTGTAAAGCTAAAACCTCGCTTGTTGTTATTTTTGGATTTTATGCAAACTCATAGTGCAACCTGTTGATCGACCGATTCGCGGCGTGCTTACGGAGTCTCACTCACTCCATGTTGCGAGTGAATATATGGAAGGGTACATTTATATTACTTCAAAATGAATTCGCCCCACACCAGCAACTGATTGACATTCAGGGTTGGGTGGGATGGGGGTTGCAAACATAGACCCTCCAAAGCAGAGATGCTTCGGGGTGTAATTTTATTTGTATATTTCTAATTTGCATAATAATAGTCTGAACAGTGACGTCGATCCACCAGAATATTGGGGGAGGAACGACAACTGACACAAATGCACTGCTTATTTGGTTCAGTAATATATTTTGGCGTGACGTGCAGCAACTACGATTGTATCCTTCTCCTATTTATAGCATCCTGGAATATACACATTGCATAAAACACTTGTTTTACATCAATTGTTTACTTTCTCTCGTTTTGCTGTCATCTCTGTTTTTAGCCGATTGGTCTCGTGGTTGTCAGGTGATGATATTCCTTAACAAAAACGTGAAATTTCCCTGTCGGATCACAGGACACAAACGGATTAGTTGCCCTTTCTATAGCTTATAATATATGCTATCGTATAATTAAACAAAAAAACAAACAAAAAAATCATTCATTCATCCACAATCCCTCTATCATAACATCCAGGACTGTTATTCATCAAGGGATAGATATAGCGATAAATTCTTTAATCTTCTAGATTTATTATGTTATACTAGCACGATATCACTCACTGACGTAAAACAGTGGTCGTGTTAATCATCTTCTTCGAATCAGTTGTTTAGTTTTGACAATTTTCAGTTTTCGCGGGCAGAATAGGGGAAAACTCATACCCAAACGTATATAGCACGTTCTGATCATCTATCTATATCAACGATTTTGTGATTTGGAAAGTACGCAACAACTCAAAGGCTTAAAATAGAAAACCAGGATATACACACGTGATCGTAGTTGGGCGAGTCTGGCATTCTGCCAACTTTTAACTGTTGAATACTAGTAGCTTGTGAACCGGCTTTATTGATGACGTCTCTTCGTTTTATGAACCCCAATCAAATCCACTGGAGTAATATTTTTTTTTTAAATTATATGAAAGAATAAGCTTTGAATAAATATTGTCCAATCTGGCTCTTTGAAAGCTTGATATAAAAATATGCTACTGCTTGCGTGTGTTGTTTGTTTGTGGACTAAAATAAGTCTGTTGCGGTCTGGATAATTATAGTATTATATTGATATACATGCTTCAATAAAGTCAGCACAATGTCGGCAATATGACAAAAGTTGCACGACATTTTGACAATCTACAACAACGCCGATTTCTATGCTCCACCCCCCACCCCCACAGCATACTGATGTACTGGAATTCGGAAATCTTCTGTGAAGGGTATTTAATAATATCAACTTCTCACTTGTTATGGTCTGTAAGTAACTCTGAGTTTCAACGATCTGCACTTTTAAAGTTTTTGAACTAGTATTCAGGTCAGCTGACCATGTCTTTACAATGCTGTTTGAACACATTTACAAATACTATTTCTGTAAACACCTCTAATGAACCATCGGATCCCATGAAGGCGTGATTTTGTTTTGAACATTTATAAATATTCATTTAAATCCAAAGAAGATGCTTTCATTGGCTGTTAACATCATTTGGTAACGCCCATAGCCCACGAGTATTTACGTACAATAAGTACACATATCTCAATGTGTACCATCCAGTACCCCTCGAATTGCCACGATGAACATTTTTCTACGCCACACGCTCCTTGGCGAAATGAAATCTTTAGGTTTCACTACTACAAAGTCAGATTGGTAATATTTTCGAAATGAATATTGTGAATAAAACACTAATTTAAATATGAAGGTACATACCATATAACGCGTTTGTTTGTACAATACGGCAACGACTGTCTCATGTGGAACATATAAAGTACGAGGCCGAACCACGTAAAATTAAAAAAAAAAACAGTGCGTGATGAACAGATCTACCTGTAAAACCGTTTTTTTTTTCACATTTATACATTTATGCGAAAATATTAGTGAAAAGTCGGTTTTAATGGTCTTCGGTCATTTTGATTTTATGGGTATTAGTAGTAGTTTGTTTGACTACGGGTAAGCATGGAGGTCTCCATGGGGTAAGATGTACTGTATCAACACACGTCGTCACGGCAGTTTCTGGAAAGTTTCTTAAACAAATAGAATGCTCGTTTGAGATGAAATGCTCACTTACCAATATATATCTGTGAGAATGTCTGGGGAAAAAATGTTTAGGAAATAAAATCTCTCTAAAATTTGACGTCCACTATCTGCTACATGTATATGCTCAAGCTGTGTGTTTGTGTTCCACTTTTGGTCACGTGGTCCATTGCTCGGGCTGTTGGTTTATCTTTGTAAATCCGTCTCTTCGTCTATACGCTAATTGTAAACTGGCCACACTTAATATGCGTATTCATATGCAGTGTATAATTTCTACACAATTGCATTAATACAGATAACTTTGGCATATCCTGTCTTAACCACATAAATGTGACATATTTAAACATGTAAACTGCCGGCAGTTTGGTCGTAGATTTTCTCGTATCTCATCATGGCATGGAAATTGCGAAAACATATCAAAATTTGAGTAAAATTCATGTGCCAGGCGAACATTTATATCCAGTACGAAGACGGAAGTCACCAATCGAAAACTTATCGAAAACCAAACATCGCTAGTATATCGTGACACGAATATGCTATCATACAGGCATTTGGCATTTCATCAATAAATGATGATTACGTGCCTGGATGGGTTCGAAGTCGACGACAAATTTTCCTCTTTTTTTCCAAATATCATACTTTCTGACACATTGCTTCTATTCCAAGTTAACAAAAATATAAATAAATAAAAATATATTCTCGATTGGACGGGTCGTGATATATATTTTACCCCACAAAGTTTCACGTGTTGAATTCTGTGATCAGCGTAAAGTAATAACACGTTTATCACAAAATGTTTACACGTGACCTCTCTCAACCATATATGATCTTGTATTCACAAAATATTCGAAACTGTATGTTGATTGATCTTAACAGTTGACTTGGCATCCTTCAACCCACCTTTGACACGACACAATCTTATTATAGCGTATCGGACTTCGGACCTATATTGATTAAAGACATACCTGACATAAGTCACAACATTATAAATGTGAACTCTGTGAAACTCTCCAGGTTTATATAGTACGTGACAAAACGCACACTTGGTTGCAAATCTCTTTTTTTGAAAAAAAGAAGAGAAAAATGGCTAAAGTACGAGTTACTGATTTTGATCTGCTATAAGTTGAATTTACATATCACGTAACTAAGTGGATGGGACACGGTGCGCGCTTGATCGAACGCCCCCGACCCAGGAAAAGTAGTAGGGATGCCAACAGCATCTCTCCATGATTGAACGAAGCTTTCATAAATTCAGTAATGAATGCTGAAATTTTGGCGTAAAAAAATGACCATTGCAAATGTCTATATTATAAACTTCTATGTGACTACCCCCGCCATGCTACCAGGGAACAAGACAACGAACCCACAGGGACTCGTCATTTTCAAGTGTCAATGAACTGAACGCCGTCAAGGGGGAAAAGCTCATATTATCGAGTATCCATTATATATAATATGTAACACTGTGAACGATCCCGTCTCTGATATCCACGTAGTCCATCAATAGTCACGCTGAGGGCGCATGCATCTTTCGCCATCATCCCATTTTTTGCTATTTCGGAGATTTGTTTTAATTACTTGTTAGAGAAAGACTACGTAAAAGCGGGCCCTCTATCGGTATACGATGTATAACACGTTACGTTTGTCTGTTTTGTTAGCAGGTTTTGTTATACACCACGGAAAATATAGCGGGCTGTCGTTTTTTCTTTTGGGAGCACGTTTTACTATACCATATTTATTGTGTTCATTTCGATGTTTGTTATGTTTTCATAAATGGCCAATTAACAATCAAACGCATCTTTATTAACAAAAATATGAGTGAAGCATGCATGTACAGGTTGGTGTAGTCATGGTTACCAGTAACCGTGGTGTAGTAAATTACAGCGCAGAGCTCAGCCAGTGCTACCAGGGGACAATGCTAGGCTATAAAGAAGACTTGGTCTCATTGGCTACGTCACCTAACACCCGACAGTCAGACCAATCAGAGAGCAGCTTGTTTGTTGGACGTATCAAATTCCGCCTTGTATGTGTGCCTCGATTCAATCAGGGAAACTCGGCGGTGTTCGGCCAAGAAAAGTCTACCACTGACACACGTACTTTAAACGACAACGCCCTCTTGAGTCGGTGCTTCTCAATTCTTCTCAGATAATGCCAAATATATTTCGACTGAAAAGGAGTCATCGGATGCTAAAATATACGGACGTTTTTTTAATTAGATATACTTTTACTATATGCTTCAAAATATTTCTATATTTCGTCAATACTTAGTA